TACATCCTAACATAAACAAACACAAATACTCCCAAAACAACACACCACAAACTCCCTTTGCTCATAGAGTAGAAGGTGCCTTTCTAGTAGTGCCAGGTCTTCTTGTGAAACGTCAGAGAAAGGGTCTGCTTATCCTCACGCACTCATGAAGTTGGTTAATAACAACTGAATTAGCTTGAAATGGGGTTCCTCAATGTGCTATAGTTCTTCGTCGAGATGAACAGAAGCACAGAGGGGGCTGAGTGAGAGGTTTCATAGAACTAAAGGAAATGGCAGCACCCGAGGACAAAGTGTCCATCTGTGTGAGAACGGGTGCCTCCGACAGCTAGACTTACGCCACGTCTGGGGTCGCAACACGCTGAACTCTGGTCCAACAGAGCCTTGGTGGCTGTGTTCTCATAGACGCGAGGCGTTGTAGTGGTCAGAAGAAACCACGAGGGCTATCATCACGTCCGCTACCCAGAGGGTACGGTGGATAGCTCCGCTCTGCAGAAATCGCACCGCCCGTCAGTGGCTCTGTGCGCCCTGCCAGGCAGTAGTACCAACATGTGTGACCCGGGTATATTCCCGGTCCAACAGAGCCAAGGATTTTTAAACTCCTGTGAAAATAAATGGCAAGCACAATTGGGTCTGAGTTTTTAAAAACTGTCCCTTTCTTTGGAGAGCAGAGGACCAATTATATACACAACTCTCAACATAGGAAGGACTAATGTCATTTGGCCCAGGTGTCCCATATTTAAAATGTAGCAAATCCAACAATTTATGTGTATGGAAAAATGTATGGGATTCTAGACGCAAAAACAAAACAGCTGTGTGAATTAATCCCTTTTCGAAACTTCTGGTATAAGGGGCTCTTTCTTTTGGCTACATGGAGAAGCCTCAAACCTCTTTAAACCTCTCAAGATCTACTCTGGAGATCAGTCTCTGGATTTCTGCTATATGTCCAGAAAACACACAGAGAATGGACTTGTATCTCTAGTTCTCTGATGGTCAGTATTGTCAACAACCCACAGACCTAGAAGGGCAGTCTCTTTGCCTCCAGATACTCAACTTTTTACTCCATCATTTGCAGGAAAACAGGTAATGAAAACAGAAGCTGGCTTTAGGGGAGCAGGGTCTTGAAGGACCCCGATTGTGCAAGGGTTAACCCTTAACTTGCTGGATTGTGGAAGGGCCTGACGTTGCTTGGGGAGGAGTCAAGTGGGAGAAAACTTGAGGAGCATGGAAAAGCAGCTCCTTAGCATCCCACATGGAGCAATGTTATGTCTGTATTTTAACCACTGGAATAGCTGTATTGGTGCTGGATACCAGCTTGTGTGCAGATATTTTTGTTGTTTAAGTTTCATAAGATAATAACAACAAGCACAGTGACAAACCTGAATAAATGTTATTTGGTGGAAAGTATGACTCATGAAATATTATCACTCCTAAATAAAATGAGTAGGTATTATTTGGATGAAGCCCTCTTTATTTATTTATTTATTTATTTATTTAATTTATTCATTTATTTTGAGACTGAGTCTTGCTCTGTCGCCCAGGCTGGAGTGCAGTGGCACCATCTCTGCTCACTGCAAGCTCCGCCTCCCGGGTTCACACCATTTTCCTGCCTCAGCCTCCCGAGTAGCTGGGACTACAGGTGGCTGCCACCATGCCCAGCTAATTTTTTTTGTATTTTTAGTGGAGACGGGGTTTCACCGTGTTAGCCAGAATGGTCTCGATCTCCTGGCCTCGTGATCCACCCGCCTCGGCCTCCCAAAGTGCTGGGATCACAGGCGTGAGCCACTGCGCCTGGCCGAAGCTACCTATATTTATTAAGGGAGTTCATCTTTTAGCTTCCCGGCCATGGCCAGCCAGTTCTTGGATACAGGCTGGATCATTTCCCTCTCCTACTAAAAAAGCATCCAGGGCATTTCATTGGAACATTCAAGACACTCCACAATCTGGCCTAAAGTAGTTTTCCCTCCACTTTTGTATACGACATTACCTGGATGCGCTATGCTCTCTGCTCATGCTGTTCCTACAACTTGCAGTTTCCTGCTTAAGCCACTGAGAATTCTGACTCAGTTCAAATGCTAGTTCTTCCTTTAAGCAGTTTCCTTGTCTTATCAGAATATTAGTTACATCTTCATCTGTGCCCAGATATGGCTCCCCTTATGTTTCTCCTGAACACTCATTTCATTGTGCCTTACATTATTATTATTAGTTTACTTGCCTGTCTTCCCTACTGGATTACAATATCCCTTGGGCATGATTTATTTTGTTTATCTTGGAGTCTACCACAAATATCCCATAAAGTGCTTTTATGTCTACTGGCTACTCAATAAATGTTACCTATTGAATAGATAGTCATCAGGCCCATATAGCTGAGTAGTATATTCCTATATAGCTAAGTCAGTGCTTCCTTGTAGGATGCAACTTCTTATGGGAGTGGGGCAGGGAAGAGTCACTACCTTTTTGGAGGCTCAATAGTCAGTTATTGTTCACTAGAATCAACACAACACTGAAAATATGCAAGCCAGCCAATCTTTATGCTTAAATTAAAAATGTCATTGGATGGGTCATCTAATCTACAAAACTAAAATAATTTGCCTCCATATAAAAGGCTTTTCCATTAGCTCTGGCCTTCAATGCAGGCATCTGTCTTTAGCACCTTGTCAATTTTACCTGAATGTACAAACAAGCAAATCTGAGGGCTCACAGTTTTGGATAAACTAGGCAAGCAAGTTTGATAAAAACTAGACAACTGTGTTAATAAGAACCAGAAAGGGACCCTAAAGACATTTCAAAGTGAGAAAAATTCTCCTTCCTATGAATTGCCGTCTGGTTTTTATGGCAACCTGCATTTGTGATATAACTTCATTTATACCTGTTACGAGCATATACCTTAAAACTTACAGATACGAGAAACAAGAGAAGCAAACAGAGATGTCTCCTTACTTGATGTTAATAAATGTAGGTAAAGTCTGGGCAAGTTTTACAAAGGAAATAAAAAGTTTCTGTGGTCCAGAGTACCCATATTTGGATGTGCTCCTATAATTTCTTAGAGCCCAAGATACTGAGCATCATATTCTTGGGGTGCAGAGGATGATACCCCAAAGTATCGTGCTTTGGCATGCTGAGCACCTTCAATTAAAAAAAATTTGGAAGGCCTTAAAGCTGCCTTAGAACCAAGAACTTTCAAACTTTCTCTTATTCCCCTCATCTCTCTCAAGTGCAGGTGAAGACTCTCTTTGAAATTTCCTCATCTAAGAAAACTTCTTTCCAAAAGAAATGCATTTGTCTTAGGGTCCCCCTGCATAGAAATCTCATCAAACAACTGGGAAAGATTGACCACTAGAGAAGAGAAAAGAGACTAAAAGTCATCACCACATCCAGACAGATTTTCCATCTCTTCTTCTGAGAGCAGCTCCGAGAGATTAACTGAGAGACTTTATCTGCATAACTAGATAACCTTTGTTCACAGTCAGTTCAATCCCTTACCTTCCCAACTTTTTCCAGTTCCATTGAGTTTCCTAGGAGAATTATTTACAAAATAATGGATGCCCTCCAGGTTATTCACTTCCCCTAAAAATCATTGACTACTCCTCTAAAATTGCCTACAGTTCCCCAACTTCCCTCTCCCCTAGCCTTAACCATCCGGCCCTTCTTTGAGTCTCTTATTTTTGGGGCTGTGGTACCCATGTTCACATAAGTAAATCTATATGCCTTTTCTCCTGTCAATCTGTCTGTCTCTGGTCAGTTCATTTCAGCAAATATTCAGAAAGGATGGAAGGGAAATTTTCCCTCCATCCCTATAAGAGCAAGTATACTACTAACTATTTACTAGTGATGAGACCACATAAGTTTAACTTCTCTCATGGACTAACAATGACATTTACCCAAAGAATAAATTTCAGCTTACCACTTTCTGGATCTAGAAAAAATTCACTGTTTCCAGATCCATAGAGTGAGTATCGTATCTCTCCATTGGATCCAATATCAGCATCCTTTGCACTGACTTTCAGGATGATTTTATTTGATGGAATGTCTTCAGGAAGTAATGCTGTATATGCAACCTGGACAGAGGTGAAGAAAGGTAATAAAAATCATTAGTATTTGTGGGGGCAATTGCCATATTTAGCATTATATAGGATTTCTTTTTTTTTTTTTTTTAGGCTTCTATTTTTATTTTTATTTTTATTTATTTATTTATTTTTTAAAAATTAATTTATTATTATTATACTTTAAGTTGTAGGGTTAATGTGCCTAACGGTGCCAGGGTTTGTATACATATGTATACTTGTGCCAGTTTGGTGTGCTACACCCATCAACTCGTCATTTAACATCAGGTATAACTCCAGTGAATCCCTCCACTCTCCCCCCCCCCCTCCAATTGAAGGCCCCGGTGTGTGAATGTTCTCCCTTCCTGAGTCAAGTGATTCATTGTTCAGTTCCCACCTATGAGTGAGAACATGCCGTGTTGGTTTTCTGTTCTGTGTGATAGTTTGCTAAGAATGATGGTTACAGCTGCATCCATGTCCCTACAAAGGACACAAAAAATCATCCGTTTTTTATGGCTGCATAGTTTTCCATGGGTATATGTGCCACATTTTCTTAATCCAATCTGTCACTGATGGACATTTGGGTTGATTCAAAATTTTCTTTGGCTATTGTGAATAGTGCTGCAATAAACATACGTGTGCATTGTGTTTTATAGCAGCATAATTTATAATCCTTTGGGTATATACCAGTAATGGGATGGCTGGGTCTATGGTATATCTAGATCCTTTGAGGAATCGGCCATACTGTTTTCCATAATGGTTGAACTAGTTTACAATTCCCACAACAGTGTAAAAGTGTTCCTATTTCTCCATCCTTCTCCAGCACCTGTTGTTTCCTGACTTTTCATGATCGCCATTCTAACTGGTGTGAGATGGTATCTCATTGTGGTTTTTGATTTGCATTTCTCTGATGGCCAGTGATGATGAGCATTTTTCATGTGTCTGTTGGCTGTATGAATGTCTTCTTTTGAGAAATGTCTGTTCATATCCTTTGCCACTTTTTGATGGGGTTGTTTGTTTTTTTCTTGTAAATGTTTGAGTTCTTTGTAGTTCTGGATATTAGGCCCGTTGTCAGATGAGTAGGATTTCTTTAAAAATTCATTGATATAATTTAGCTTTTGTTATTTTTTCCTGCACTACAGAAGCATAATACAATATATTATATTATATAAACATCATATATCTGCTACTCTACCACTCCCGTGCTTATTCATTTAACAAATATTTATTGAGCATCTACTATGCATTAGGTACCATTCTAGACACTAAGAGTACCATGGCAAAGGAAACAGAAGAACATCCCCACTCTTGTGGAACCATAACACACACCACACATTGACCATGGTTGTCTGTTTTTCTCTTGAGCCCCAATGAGTCCTAGGAATTCTCTTCAACTCTTTAAAGAGCCACTACCAGCATTTGGCATTAGTATGAGAGACTAAATCTATTTGCAATACTTTTCTAATCTACAGGACACCAATATTGTCTCTCAGTCTACATGATAGAAAAGAATAAATAGTGATTTAATTTCGGTATAAGAAAACATAATATCTAGTACTTGTATCTTCCATTGGCATTATGTTTTATATAGTAGTAAAAAGGCCACTTCACAAGGAGCCTGGAGACCAGTGTTCAGCACCAACATTACCACTAACCAAATGTGTAAACTTATATAAACAAGTTAACATCCTGTAGAGTGGTCCATTTCTCTTTTATGATATCAGTGATTTAAACAGAATAAGTACTAAAGTCCTTTATGACTTACTCAAAAAATTATTTAAGACATTTTTTTTTTTTTTTGGTGGAGGCAGGGTACAAAATTAGGTATCTGATCTTACTACCTATACTCTTTTCATGTTTTCAATATTTCTTCCTAAACGTCACCTCCTACCCTCTTACACCCAACTGCAGATAAGAGCAGAAGTTTTCCTGGCCTTAAGAAGCAAAGTGAAATGGGCTTTGATTTGATTTTGGAGAAGCATAGTAAAAGCAGAGCCCTATTCCCAAATCTCACCTGCTCACACACTGGGCTATTGTCATTCACATCACTGACGCTCACTTCCACCATGGCCTGTGTGACAAAAAGCCCATCAGTGGCAGTGATATTGAGAAAGTAAATGTCCTGTTCTTCTCTGTCTAGAGGCCTCTTCACATAGACCTTCCACTCACTTTGCACCAGGCCCAGAGCAAACCTTCCTCGAGGGTTTCCTCCTGCAGTTAAAAAAACAGAAGAGCTTTTGAAGATGTGCAATGAAATGTCTTAATCTACACCTACCTTGAGAGGTGCATGTGGGGTCATCCAGGTACTCCTCAAACTGTATCATTTAGGATACTAAAAAGATACTGAAACTCCCTTTGATTCTGGGGCAACAAAGGATGATATTTACATGCTTGGCTTCTGTGAAAAGCAAAACAGTAACTTTCCAAGATAATAAAATCCACTTAGAGAAGCTGGAGATGATCTCTTGTTTAGTTCCCCTTAAGAACAATCAAATTCAAACTGTGAACAATCAATCGTCTTCTCAGGCTGACACAATTGTCTTTCCACTTAGTCTCCAGAGAGGATGTAATACACTCTAGCTCTTGTTACCAAGACAATTTCATTAGCCGTTGATTATGCAGTCAAGAAAGGCAGTTAGTTCTATTAAGGAATCTTTTAATGAAGGCTTTATCATACAGCTGTGCTCTTCTCATAAGAACTGGAGTTTGGGGGAGAAAAGTTTTCACCACAGAGGAAGTCCCATTAGTGTTAAATAGCCCTAACGAGGGGTCATTTAAAAAGCAGTTCAAAGATAAGCATTGCAATTAGACCAAATGTATCAGAGTGAAGCTGGGGAACATGTAAGAAAAGAAAACAGATGAAGTGGAACAGCTTTTTAAGATGCTGAAGCACTGACAGCGGTCCCAGCAATATGACTTTTCCACATCATTAAGCTACATGGGGGCAAAAGCAGCTTGGGGAACAAGACAGGAGGAGGAAGGAAGATCACAACCTTGACATAATCCGCAAGAGGGGAAAAATGTCATTTCAGACACTGAGAAAGACTGGGCAAGACCGCTGGCAATAAGTCAGGAGTCAGGTTTGATCATCACTATTTCATTTATTTGGACATTCAAGTATTTATCATATACTCTGGGCCAGGCATTGTTCTAGGCAGCAGGGCTGTGTCAGTGGACAAAACCAGCAAAAATATTTGCTGTCACGGCAGAGATCACATTCTGGAGGGAAAGACTGAAAATAAACAAATAAGGAAAGTATACTGCATCCTGACTACTACTTCGTTGAAAACGTGGAGCCATATCCCCTACTTACAATGAATCTTTACAAAGCAGTGGGCAAATATCAGGGTCCTACTGAAGAGACGGAGTGGGATTCTGAGTGCCAGACCACATTCTTGCTTATAAGGCAAGGGGCTGCTTAGTCTGAGGGCCTCAGCACTGGGAGTGGGGGCAAGTCACAGTGGAATACAATGAAACCAAATCAGCCAGTGTAGAAAAGGCAAGAGCTGTATATTCCTCTGGGGCAGTGGTTCTCAACTGGGGACGACTGTGCCCGTCCCCTCTGTGGGGATATTTGTCAACGTCTGGAGACATTTTCGCTTGTCACTTTGGTGGGAGGGAAGTGATGGTGCTACTGGCATTTAGTGGGTAGAGGCCAGGGATGCTGCCGAACATCATACAGTGCAAAGGACAGCCTCCCTCAGCAAAGAATTATCTGGCCCCAAATGTTAATAGCAGTGTGGCTGAGCAACCCTGCTCGAGGGAGCTTCAGGATCCTCCCTGGGATATCACTTTCCTCCACCACTGGCCAGGATTCAATTATGCTTTAGTTGAATATTATTTCAACGCACACAAATTTAACCTCTCTATTAAATGCTTTCAGTGCAGGCCCACACTGTTCTTTTGTTACATAAAATGATTAATGGTCCTTTGTTAATCGGAGGCAGCACAGCCAAGTTGTGTTACATCAAGAGCAAAAGTTAAATCTAATTAAAATCAGTTGGTGGTTGGCACTGCTAATAGTAACAGTAGCTGTAAGCTACTCTGTACTCATTACTTTGCTAAAGTCAATGGGATAGTCCCTTTAAATCATCCATTGACAATTCAGAGGCTATCTATAAATAATTAAGGCTGAGTATTTTACAGTTTTTCCAAATAGAAAAGGACCCTTCAGAATGCCTAAGCAGCCTTTTTTTCCGGAAAATAAATGCAAATGAATTAAAGTGATGCTTCACTCACCTCTTTCTTCACTATCTTTCATGTTTTAACTGCAGAAATACATATTTTAATGAGAACAGAAAGTCTCAGATAAATAATAAAATGCATAGTGTTTCAAGGGGAAGACATCACCAAGAGAACTGTCCCATAAAGAAAAAGGAAGAGAATCATGCTGAAAAGTGTGGCAACCCCAAGCATTGACACGTTTGCTCTACTGTGGATCTTACTCTGCAGTGATTAATTAACTTTCCTACTAACATACTTAAGCAGATTCTATGTCCTAAGGGCATTCTAATTAATTCATTTTTCACTCTGAATGATGTAGTTTTTCTAAAGGGAAGACACCTGACTACAAGTATTGATGATTCTTTACAATCTTTTGGCACTTTGTTTATGTTCTGCCTTTGAATGTGACAACATCAAAATATTAGCTTTAACCCACCCCCCAAATAGTTTTTAGGAAGAATGTTCCCACACTGCCAACCCTCTCTTCTTTCAGCTAAAGGTCAGCTGCCCCCTGGGAAACTACTCTGAGATGAAATCCTTAGCCTCTCAGGGCAACAGTGACATTTTCTGTGCCTTCTTAATGACTGACTTTGTCTATCTTGGCTTTCCCCTTTAATTGCTACTTGCTAGTCTGAAAGACAGAAAAGAAATCCAAAAAAATTTGGTTGTCAGAAGAAATACCCCTTGATTTGTAGTTATAATATAGGATTTCTCAGGGAAGGATCAAACCATGCCATCTAATGTGTGTACGTGGGTGCACATGTGTTGCTATGGCCAGGAGAAGTGTGCATGTGAAGCCTACTGTGATCAAGCTATTTGCTTTGCTCAGTATTGCAAAAGGTAGAAAAAAGGAACATGCTTAAAAGCAGAACCTCTCCACCAGAAAGTTGTTATTTTCATTCCTTCAACTGAGATATTTGGCTGGACTCCTTTTTAAATAGGAAGAGGTGACACAAAGACTAGTTACCAATGTGGGTAACACGTTTACGACAAACCTGTGAACTCCAAACTAAGGCTGAGTTAGCAACAGCCAACAAGCAAAAAACGCAGTCTTCTCAGAGATCCTTTACTCAGCTCCAGAGAGGCTTCATTACACTTGACTCCTTATCCCATCTTCCTTCTCCCTTTACTCTTCCCCCTGCCATCTTCCATCTTTCTTTATAAAGCAGAGCACATAATGAAAACTAGGGGTGTTTACTCACCTGTAATATGGTAGCTCACTTGGCGATTAATGTCGGACGTATCTCTGTCCCAGGTGCTGAGGACGGCTACCACCTCGCCTGGTGGGTCGCTCTCCTTCACATTCCCTCGGTACACTTCCTGCGCAAAGACTGGTGCATTATCATTTATATCTGTCACTCTGACAGATACCAAGGCTGTGGAGGAGAGAGAGAATGCCTCTCCAAGGTCAGAGGCCACCACAGAGAAGGTGAATGTGGGGTCTGTCTCATGATCTAGGTCCTTCAAGGTACTGATCCAGCCCGTGTTGCTGTCAATATTGAATGCTTCCATTACCTTTTCGGGCTGGGAATCCGAGTGGAGGGAGTAAGTGACTTGTCCATTGGCGCCCCAGTCCATATCAATAGCTCTCACTTGTGTGAGTTTGGTGCCAACAGGCATCCCTTCCATTATAATGGTGTCGTAGCTTGAAGTTTCAAAGACTGGCTTGTTGTCATTCAAATCCAATACCTTGATATCTACATCCACAGTAAACACAATGTCTACTTTGTCCAGGGGTATAGTGGCTGCTACTTTAAAGTGGAAAGCTGGGCTGGTTTCATGGTCAAGGCGTTTGTCAAGTTTAATGGTGCCTGTTTCCTGTTCTATGACGAAGACGCCTCCTTTGTTATTTTCTGGCCGTTCCCCATTAACTGTGCTGAATCGGACATTCTGACTGGGCAAAATCCTCAGGGTGTCCACTGTACTCCCAATGGCTGTATCTTCTGCAATGGTAAAGGAATACTGAGACTGGGTGAATGATGGCAAGAATGTTTCAGGGGGCAAGACGTGGATATAGACAGGAATGAGAGAGTGCTTTACTGGGATGCCCCCATCTACTGCTTTGACAAAGAACGAAAGCACTGTATTTTTCAGCTGGTTAAAATTACCCTTTGTGACCATCCAGCCATTGTCAGGATCGATTTCCAGGAGGTCAGCCACTGAAACAGAGGCCTCGCTATAGAGGGAATAAGTAATCCTTGAATTTGCTCCATCATCGGGATCTATGGCTTGAACTTGAGTGACCAAGTGGCCCCTTCCAACATCTGCCCTGACACTGGCTCTATATTCCACTGTCATGAACTGGGGAGCATTGTCATTTTCATCCACAACAATCACTCTCACAGTGCAGAAAGTTGTTCTCCCTCCACCATCAAGGGCCCTCACAAAAATACTAACATCTCCTTCTACAGGGTTTTCCCGGTCTAGCCTTTCTGTGGTGATGACCTGCCCATTGCTGTCTATGAGGAATCGATCCTTGGCAAAGTCATTGATGATGGCATAGCTGATCTGCCCGTAAGTCCCTGGATCACCATCTGTGGCTCGAACATGAATTACCTTTGTTCCTGCAGCCGCGTTCTCTCTCACCTCAGCTACGTATGTGCTTTGTGAAAAGGCAGGGCTGTACAAGTTAGCCCCAAGTACCCTAATATGCACCTGTGCAGTACTAGTGAACAACCCATCAGAGACAGACACATTGAGACTGTACAGAGGCTCCATCCGCTGCTTCCGGTGGTTGGACAATGTGATAACTCCACTCTTGCTGTCCATCAGAAAGCTCGTCCGGTCATTCCCAGATAAAATGCTATATTCCAACCGGTCAAAATCAGAGCTGTCTGAATCAGAGGCTTGTACACAGGTTACAAAATGGCCCCGGGGGGCTAATTCACTCACATATGACTCATAAATGAGCTGATTAAAAACTGGAGGGTTGTCATTTACATCAGAGATGTAGATATGAACCAGAACCTCACTGCTCAGTGATGGGAAGCCACTATCTGTTGATCTGACTTTCAAAGTGCAGTGTTGTACTAACTCATGGTCCAGCATCCGTGCTGTCAGGATTAAGCCACTTGAGCTATCTATGTGAAAATAATCTGTGCTATTGTAGGTATCCTGGACAATCTGATAATGTACCATTTTATTGTTTTCTGAGTCTGCATCAATAGAGACAACTTGTAAAACAGGTGTCCCAATAAGAGATGCTTCTGATAGTGTTGTATTGTATGTGGGCTGATCAAAAATAGGGGGATTGTCATTTACATCATTAACTAGCAAGTCAACAGTGACTTCAGCCCTAGCACCAGTGAGGGCATCGCTGGCTCTTATTGTCAGCTTGTAAGCAGATGCAACTTCATAATCCAAAGGGCTAACAACTTTCAGGACCCCAGTGTCAAAGTCAATGTTAAACTGTTTAAAAGGGTCCCCATCGATAATGATATATATGATGCCTTGGCCCTCTGGACTGGTGGCATTGATGCTTAGGATGGGTGTGTTCATTCTGATGTCTTCATTGACAGATGCTGTATAAAAGGGTTTATCAAACACAGGCATTGCTTTGTTGACAATAGTGATGGGAAGCTCCACAGACGTAGACAAAGAGGGTTTTCCACCATCCTTGGCCAGGATGGTGACTCCATACTCAATGTTGGACAAGTCAGAGTTGAATGCTTCCTTTAAAATAACATTCCCTGAATTAGGGTTAATTTCAAAGTGGCCATAGTCGTCCTGTAGGACATACGTCACTTCTCCATTTGGACCTTTATCTTTGTCAATGGCTGTCACCTGATAAATCAGAGTTCCAGGTTCTGCGTCCACTTGAACAGCAGCATAGTATGGGAGGCCCACAAAGACTGGAGAATTGTCATTTATGTCTTCAATGTTAACCCTGACCACCACTCTGGCCACACGCAGATGGTCCAGCTCACGGCTGGCTTCTACCACCAGCTCATATAACTCTTGTTCTTCACGGTCAAAGGGGACTCCAGTCGTCTGAATGACCCCTGAGGTAGATTTTATCTTGAACTTATTTCCTGGGTTTAAGATGCTGTATTTTAAGGGCTCATTAAGGCGGTTTCCAACTGCATTGACAATAGCAACTTTGGTTATGTTAGTGTTGTTCTCTGAGATTGAGGTGGAATAGAAGCTTTGTGTAAAGTGGAGGCCACTGTCCATGGCTTCTTTAACCATGATGGTGACCATGGAGGTACTGTAGAACTTTCCATCAGATACCTTAACTATCAGCATATAGTGATCCTTGGAGAGGTTGTTGTTTTTTATGGTAAGTACTCCACTGTTTGAGTCAATTAAAAAATGATCCAAGCTGCCTTCCATTAGGCTATATGTCAGTTCAGGGGGTACCTCAGAGTCAGGATCTGTGGCACTAACTTTCAGAACCTCCACTCCGACATACGTAGGTAGAAGTAAGACAGTCTCAAACACAGCCTGAGTAAAAACAGGCGGGTTATCATTCACATCTGTCACCTCAATGTTGACTTCAACGGGACTCTCTGCAGTCAGTTGGGGGCTACCACTGTCTCTCACATGCACATGAAAATGGAAATGGGCAATGGTTTCATGGTCCAGGTTGGCAATTGTTCTAATTGCACCTGTACTGGAGTCCACCGTGAAAAACTTTTTGGCTGTCGACTCCACAATCTGATACACAAGCAGAGCATTCCGGTTGCTGTCAGCATCTGTGGCTCGAATCACCAGTGGGCTGTTATCCAAGCTCCTGACAATGCTGTTAATTGGGGCAGCCTCACTTAGGCTGCCTGAGTACTGAGAAAAGAGAAAAATTGGGGCATTATCATTTTCATCAACAATCTGAATATTGACTGTAGCATTGGAAGCCATTCCTGCCATATTGGTGGCCTGAATGATGAGCTGATAAGAGGATGTGCGCTCATAATCCAGGACCTTCCGAGTGGTGATGACTCCAGAATATGGATTTATGGTAAAGATCCCATTAATGTCTCCATCTTTGACTTCATAAATGAGGGTAGATTGACTGATGGCAGAGATTAGAATGACTGATGTTCCAATGTCAACATTTTCATTTACTTCTGCTTGGTAGTCTTTGTGAATGAACTTGGGGTGAGAATTGTCAGACATGGTGACAGAAATGCGCACAATTGCAGTGGCAGACATTGGCGGGGATCCCTGATCTGTGACTTTGATGGATAGGACAAACTGACCCATCGTCGTCATGTCTGGTTCTTTGCAAATGGTGATGATGCCTAGGACCGGTTCGATCTTAAACGTGTTCCCAGTGTTCCCTAAAATACAGAAATCAATGGTGAAATGAGTTACATTTGGGTCACTGAAATCTTTTTGATTGGCTTTTTATCTACAGGTACTTTACTGCAATGTGGCAAGTAGAAAGCAATTATAGTACTCATTTGTGTCATTCTGAAATGAGAGGCCTCTCTTTCAGGGGTACTGAAAAGCAACAAAAATGAGCTTCCCAGTAATATGGTAAATTTCAGATCAGTAGCTTCTAGATCCAGGTTAAAAACAACGATGACAATAACACAGTCTTGTGTCATTCAAGTTTGTAAATAAGAGAGCCTGAAGGAGAGATCTTTTCTGCTAAGAATGTGCAGGACTTCCTTATTTCCAGCCTTGTGAGAAGACAGATAGATTGGGAAGCCCACATATGAATGCCACTGGTTTAGGCAGCAGTGTCATATTTTCTGTTCTAGGTTTAAAGAAAAGAGGGTTGTGGGAATAGTTTCAGAGCAATATAAAGTAGTCAGTTGTTTTCAGATTATCCCAAAAGCAAACTTCACTACATGGAATTGGTATTATTTCACCCTATCAAAAATGACTTTATCCAAAACACTACTTTGGTGAAGGGGTTTGTTCAGTCAGGCATGGAGAATTCTTGGCAGGTCATCATTTGCCTTGTAAGTGTGAGGAATTTTCGTGACTCCTCTTCTATTCTCCACTCATGCTCTACCCCTCTCCCATGCCTCTGAATGCACACATGCACACACCTAGACATAAAAGTAAACATACAAAGTTACAGGGCAGTTGCTCAATCTGTAACCATTCTATTCACCAAGCATTTGAGATGTTTCTAGTGCACCAAGAAACTGTTGAGAATCTAAACCAGCACTGCAACCAAGAACCTGAGACATAATCCTTGTGAAACTGAAACCTGGGCACCCCATTTTGACATAGCTGGCAGGGGAAGGGCTATGGCTGTGACACTGTAGCAGTTTAAGAGTTCTGCTTCAGAAACCTGTGGTGGTTTGAAATCTGAGATTGTTGAGAATGAGAGAAATAACAGAGGAATAAAGAATGGGGAAGACACAATGTAGAGTATGTAAAGAAGGTAGGTGGCGACAGAGCTGAAAGGGGGTGGATAGTGCGAAGTTGTATCCTTCATCAAGTTGTTTTTGCTTTTCTTATCAAGCTTTCTCATATTTCTCAAAGAACACACATACTTCTGTGCTGAGATTCTTTCCAATCAAAAGTTAAAGATCTTGGTTATTCAACTCTATCTGGACTTTTCTTCCTGTTTGAATATTGTAGTATGATAGGCATGTAATTTAAATGTTGAAATCATTAAAATAGGGACCAGGATTTTCAGGGCAGTTGTAAGGTGTGTCTATATACTTCTTCCTACATGCTAATTATGTAAAGTTTTCCATGTCTGAACACAAAATGGTCATGTTCATGTAACATCTATTTCAAGAATATACTTGCTTATTTTAAAAGACAAAGTATATCTAATAAAGAGGTCATTTTGATTCCAGCCCCCCAAATGTGAATATTAAACAATGTTGTCATTGATGTCAACATGATCTATTACTTTGCAACCTAAACATGGCCATTTTATGATGACAACAATAAAAAGTTCAATGATCTTATAAGTAAACTTTCAAGCTTGCAATGAAGTGTCATAGAATTGAGTGTGAATCCAACAGGTGATTCACAGACCTTTGTAGGGGAAATCACCTCAACTAAGCAATGGTCACCTTCCAGTGATGGCACCAACATGTAACCTTGACTGATGAATGCTACTGGAGCCAGGGATCTCAGTGTTCACTGATCATGGCGCCCCATTGCAGAGTTTGTAGGTAAGTCCTCCCTTACTCCACACCCGGCAGATTTCTTCATACCCAGCAAGACATGCTACGGTGGGGATGATGGGGAGCCAGCTTTTGACCTCAAATATAATTTTATGGTTTTTTTTTTTGTTGTTGTTTTTTTTTTTTTTTTTTTTTGAGATGGAGTCTCATTCTGCCATCTAGGTTGGAGTGCAGTGGTGCAATCTTGGCTCATTGCAACCTCTGTCTCCTGGGTTTAAGTGATTCTCCTGCCTCAGCCTCCACAGTAGCTGGGACTGCAGGCATGCACCACTACACCTGGCTAATTTTTGTGTTTGTAGAGATGGGGTTTTGCTACGTTGGCCAGGCTGGTCTCAAACTTCTGACCTCGAGTGATCCACCAACCTTGGCCTCCCAAAATGCTGGGATTACCGGCATGAGCCACTGTGCTTGGCCTCAAGTAGAAATTCATAACCCTGCTATCCCATGGCTGCTGATCTGCTTGCGACACCCTTCCAGAATGGTGTGCTGATACATCAGGTCCAAAGTGGGCCCTCCTCCTCTTTCCCTCTTTGGCACATTGACCCATTCTCTTGGACTCCACTTCCTGCTTATTCTTTCCTGCTACACTTGAATCCTGAAAAATTGACCTCTGTTTGTTTTTTGGAATCTATGGTTTCTGTAGATTTTTGGCAATTGAATAAAAGCTGTGCTTTTCTTATCATTCCTTATCTAGTACACAACACAGCATCTGCTACAAAGAAGTTGCTCAATATTTGTTGAATGATTGAGAGGAGAGGTAAATCTAAAAATATATTTTAAACTCTCTGTTCATACGCATCTTGGGATCCATATGCCCCCACCCGAACTCAACTCAGTCCCAGTCTCTCTTGTACAATCCTGCCTCAGACTCACCATTGACACCAAACACAAAACTCAAAGTAGATATAAGACCTGAAGCTCTGCACTCAAATTCTGCCTCAGTCCTTCAGGCCAAAATAAAAAGCTTCCATAGTCACTTTAGAGGACAGGCAGGAGACAGGAAATTTATAGCCCACCAATAAACAGAGTGAAATCTTGCTTATCTGATGTGTGTGAGAAAAGTTAAATAAAACATAATACTTTACACAACCATTTGTCATTTGCTTCAAAGTGCTGAAGCATCTGGGATCTGCCTCTCTCCTACTCTCGTCTGGGAAGAAACCTGCTCCCACCCTCGACTGGGAAGAAACCAGTGCAGCCCAGTGTGGGTTTGTCTGTCTGTGAAGAGGCTCACTGGCCATTTCAGATTTATTGTGAACATTGTAATCCTCACTAGTTTCTTACATACAATCAAAGGTCATTTTTTTTTTTTTTTTAGATATCAGTTGTTCTCATGGTTTTCTGGAAGTTCGTGTTTTCTATATAAAAGGTGTTTTAAGGAAATAACTGTTCCATCTTGTAGTCAGTTAAAGAAATGACTGGGCACCATGCTGTAGTCTGTAGACGTCAAAAGATAAGCAGAGCAGTCTTTTTGGTTGGATGGTAAGTTAAATTACTCCTTAAGAAACTCCAAACTGACTGAAACATTATCTGGCTATCTCAAAGGAGTATAAGTAGCAGGCTTAATGACAAATATAAAAAGCAGGTAGAGACATACAGCAAATGTTTAGAACATGGTAAGAAAAGTAGAAATAAAACCCTATATCTAAATAATTACAGTGACATGAAGCAATGTATATGCATGAAGGAATATGGGGAAAAGAAAAACACACAATACTGGAAAAAACAATAGAAAGAATAAAAAGAGTTGTTGGTTTAGGTGACATTTTCTGGGATGTGATTGAAATATTCATGCTTTGGAAAAGTGTCCTTATATTATTTGTGGAACCCAAAGAACAAAGATTATGTAATTAAGTAATAAAAATGTCCTGTGATAAATAAAAGATGTAAAATAGCATTTTCTAAGAAAATACTGGTCAGGCTTTAGATTGAAAGGAAATTCCATGGAAACCTAGAAAAAAATAGGTAAATTCTCTCTGGGAACTTTGCTATTATGAATTCTTATCTTTTCTTTTTCTTCTTTTTCTTTTTTTAAATAGAGCTTAGCACAGACCCATATAAAATGTGAGTGTCTAATACAGGAAATAGTTTTAAGTTATCATTTAATGCAAGAACCTTTTTTTAGAAGGTTGTTGGCTTTTCTTTTTCTAAAATTTTTAGTCCGAAAGTGTCATCCTAGCATTCATATTTTAATTCAACTCCTCTCAAAAATGCTCTACATTTAAATGAAGGGAGAGAAGCCTTTCCATCCCTGGCATGAAAGGAGGTTGCATTTGGCATTATTCACGACAGACATAATGTTGCAGAACATTTTGGAAATAAGTGGCTTGAATATTCAAAAAAGATGGAATGCGGAAGAGAACACAGGCAGAGATAGGATATTTGTCATTTTTAGGTTTATTTTCTTGCTTAGCTATTCATCTCTCGTCATAAAAGCTTTCTAGCTATCAGTCTTCAAACCGTCAGTAAACTATGGTCTTGCCTTATAGATGTTAAAATTAATTTTAAAACATCTAATTTTTAAAAAATTTAACAAAACAAGAGCCTGTATTTATTTGTCAGGTTCAGCAAGCAGTTCAGAATCCATATCTACCATCTACTCTGCTACTCAGGTTGCCTCCAAAGATGTGAATTTGTGCTGTGAGGTTGAAGGAATTTCTGAAGCCCACAGACCACCTAGTAAACAAAGACTTGTTAAGATTCAATTCACAGAACACCCTGGTAGCCCTCAGATTATCGGTGGCTTTGGTTATTTTAGTCTGCGGCCCTGGCTTGTTGGCCTACAGGTAAAAGCCAGTAAATTTATTGCGTATTTATTTTCTCTTCTCTATCCCAGAAAAATCCACGATCGAACACAACAAAGGAAACTTTCCTTGCTGTTAATGATGGAAAACCTATTACTGAAACGTCAAGAACTTTATCCACCATCATCTCCCAAATAGGACAGCGGCTTGGCCAAAAAAGTTCATTTAGATATGTTCTATTGTTAATGATCTGAATTTTACACGGTGATAAATGCTACTGAGGGTCGAACGCCATGCATTATGCTGAAATTTGTGCAGTGCAACAGCTCTCACCTGCTTCTATGGTATATATGAGTTCTGCATTTTCTCCTTTGTCTTTGTCCAGAGCTGTCACTTGCAGAACAGCTGATCCCAGAGCAGCAGATTCAAACACAGACGCTTCGTACAGTGGGTTGGTAAAATAAGGGCTGTGATCATTAGCATCCTCCACATTCACAATGACTCGGGCCAAGTTTCTTCGATAAGGAAACTCCTGATCTCTGACCTTTAGGCAAAATACAAGAAGTGGTGGGACTCAAATCTTAAATAGCAAAGAACTCACATGGCTATGTCTGGGGTGAAGACAAAATGAAATAATGCATGCAAAGTGCTTGACCCAGTTCCAGGCTTCTAGTGGGGTCTCAATAAATGGTAGTATCATCAAGTGAGGAAACACTGGGAGGAAATCGCAAGCAGGGGTTACAATACCTTTACTGCTCAGCCTAATGTCTGGCCTGTGGTCTGTGCTCAGTCTGTGTGTGTAGAATTGATGCCTTGATATCACAAACACAGCGCTGTGCTCTGGCTCTCCCCATACAGTGGCCTCCCCCTTATTTGTGTACACAGCTGATAACAGAATAGTGGATAGAGGCTCTTCTGTAGGGGCAACTAAAGACTGGAATTAATGAACACAATGTAGGCATTTCCATTCATCCATTCAACAAACATTTATTGTCACCTATCTGTCTTAAGTCCTTGGCTTTGCTCTGGTGGTACAGCAGTGAATTTGATACAGTTCCTGCCCTCAAGAAGCTTAGAGTCAAGTGGGAATACAAACAAGTAAATAGATGGGTATAATGCTCAGGGCTAAGTATTCTCATGGGATGCACTAAAGGTGCTCGCAGAATAGTGAGAAAAAACTAACCTAGCATTTCGCTTCCTGAAAAAGGTAACGAGAACAAGTAGGAGTGGTAAAATGGTGGTGGTAGTAGTGTGCGGCATTTTCAGGCAAAAAAGCCAATATATACAAAAGTCTAGAGCTGAGAGAACCCTGACCATTGGGAAGATGAATCAAATCTTAATTTCTTACTTAGAGAAACGTTAAATAAAATGTCACACTTGACACAACCATTTGTCATTTTCTTCAAAGTGCTGAAGCACCCCCTTTCTGATTTCACCAGAAAACCTTGCTTGGCAGTTTTAAAGTTTCCTTTAGTTTGTATATGGTAGAAGCTTGCAAATAATCATTTCTTTAACCACAAGGTTTTGCTATCATTTGATGTAGCACTAATCAAATATGTGTTCTTGGCTTTTTCAATTTTAAACTCCATACCTGCAGAGAGATGTGAAGAAATTAGAAAATATACCGAAAAGAGCCAACAAAGAGAAAGGGGTTTTCAGAAATAGTACCTAGGAGGAATGAGCAAAATGACTAAAATGGCTTAGCTAGGACAAAGGCAGTGTAAAGCACTTGTTTGCTCGAAATATTCAATTATGTAAGTGGTAAATGGTAGAGGGTGACCAAATGGATTTCTGAGTTTGTTAAAGAAAGAATGAACAGAAATGGCTTAAAGAATCATGAGAATGGAGTTAGTCACTAGCACAAGGTTTCTGCCCTTGGGGAAAACACATGCAGAATTAGCCCAGTGAATATGCTGAATTTCCCTGTCTGCAGACTGGTCTGCCATACCCAAGGACCAAGCTGGACTCTTTATTTGGGGATTGTTGAAATCCAGGTCAGTTCCAATTAAGCGTAAGCTCCTAGGGTGCAGGAACTTTGTCTTTTTTGTATCTTCAGTGCCTAGAAGAGTGTTTGGTGCATAGTAGGTGCTTGAGAAATATATGTTAAATGAATGAATGAAGGGCCAGAGTGATGACTGGAAGACCTCTATAAGTAACCCCATCTGTTTCCTGGAGTCTTAGTTGGAAACTATAGCTAAGTGTATGACACTCAGACTTCCTCTTGTCGTTGGAAGGTTTCTAGTCTTATGAAAGAAAAATAAAACTTAGTGGAACATTACTTTCAGCTGCTTAGGAATTTGTACTGTCTTAGTGCGGTATTTTAGTGCCAATCAGGGCAGAAGATTAAGTCTGTCCTTCTACCTGGTCTTAAAGGAACACAGTCGGGGCTCTGACAGGAAGTGGCTGTGCAATGCTGTGGGGATTCTTGGGTGGTTGGAGGGATAGACTTCAGGCCATAAATTAATCAAGGATGTTTCTTATTAATCTCTACTTCCCAATTATGTGAACTAGCTAAACACTACTCTAAAAGTAAAGCAATTTCTCCTACATAATTTGGAGGTCCCAAGAACACAAACTCAGATTGATACTCTCTGTAGGCTTTAGCACGTATTGAGATCTCTCTTGTGTACCAGTATTTACTACTAGGTCCAATGCCAGTACAATAAGTAATAAATTGGTTTTCCAAATCCTTCCAAGGACTGAGCATTGCATAGGCTGAGTAAATGATTACCCTTTTGATTAACTTCTCAAGGAATGTCTTTTCAATTTTTCTTTGAAATCTTCTGGGTGCAAACGAACCCCAGAGCCTGGGAACATGACCTGTTCCTTCCCTCTCAAGTCAGTCTGTTTGGAGCATTTACTGAGCAGCCCCTGCTGCAGAGCTTGTCTAATAGTTTAGTTTGGCAAAAATACAGAGTTGCTATCTAACAACAGTAATTCTTCATGAAATAAAAAGGCAAAAATGAAAGCAATCTCTCTGTGAAAAGACTAAATTTTCAACTACTTATAAAATTTAGGGGCCCTATACTTCTGAAGGCTAATGTGTGTGGCCTGAACAGTCAGTGGTTCTGTAGGAGAGCAAATTAGGATTTCGGTCCTACCATTATGTTGAGAATGTGCTTGTCCTGGGCCTCATGGTCCAGCCTCTCGGCAGTATAGAGCACGCCAGTGCTAGGGTCAATCCGGAATTTTCTCATGCTGATGGAGTCAATGCTGCTATGAACAGTGTAGCTCAGCTTGTGCTTCTCATCTCTATCTGTGGCTTCAATCTGCAAGATCTCTGTGTCTGGAAGCACATCCTCGGAAATTGTCACATCGTAATTCGGCTGAGAGAATTCTGGGCCATTATCATTATTATCCAGCACTTTGATAAATACCTATAGTTAAAAGAAGACAAGAATGATGACTAATGCCAATTTGCTCATTGCTAATAAAAGTATGCCCTCCCTCCTTTTTCCCCCCCTTCCATGTCCTTGGATCCTAGCTTCTAGTAGCTCTTGCAACACAGAGGAAGCTCTCTTATAAAAACACTGTAATTAGAGGTTGACAATAAACCAGTAGTTTATATTAGCAAGAACATAAACTATGAGCTGATCAATATTCTCACTATTAATTGAACAGCTGCAACAGCTACTTGAAGGTGATAATTCTGTGGAATTCTTTGATGCACAATGTATATGATCACAAGGTGACCTTAATTTGTTAAGGCGCCATTATCTTAAGTTCTTATTATGTGTTTCTCTTGGTGGACTTCTGTGGAGGCAGGGACAGAATGGGAAAAGGAGCACAGAAGAGGCAAAGGAGCCAATGAGGTGGGACTCAGAGCAGTCACAGCTTCTCAATGGCAGTGTCCACGCACTGTGGTTGTCCTGATAGGAGGGGTTTAGCAAAGAACGTAGCTCTAATGATAGTTAAGGTATGAAGTTTCCCAATAAGTTTCCTAATTGTTTTCTTTCATAAAGCATTTTGTTATGTAAATTTTCAGACAAATATAAAATAGTGTAATGAACACTCCAGTATGTATCACTCAGCTTTGGTAATAATCAATTGCTAATCTAGTTTCATCATACTGCCACTCATCCCTGCCTATCTCCCTATGTTATTTTAAAGCAAATCCCACCCATCATGTAATTTCACTATGCATCTTTAAAAGACAGGACTCTTAGAATAAACACAAACACACACAATCCCATTGCTGCACCTAAGCAGAGAAAAGAGTAGTTCCTTAATATCATCAAACAGCCCATTGGTGTTCATACTTCTCTAATTGTTTTTAAGTATTTTTTATCACATATATGCATATACATATATATTCATAATTTCTTTTAATCAAGATATGCAAATAAGGGCCAAACATTGCATTTGGTTGATACATCCATAAATGGGTTAATTATATTTTAATTTATAGGTTCTCCTTCAAACTCTTCTCTTACTATTTCCTTGGATTTTTTATGGTGTTATTGCTAGTATTGAAGAAACTGAGCCATTTTTTCTTTAGTTTCCACAGTCTGAATTTTCCTCATAGTGCCCCTGTGGTTTTGTTTTACATGTCCCTCTGTACCCTGTAGTTCTTATAAACTGTTTGATCTAAAAGGTTTGCTAAGATTCAGTTTCCTTTTTTCTTGTTCTTTGTTTTTTTTTTTTTTGACAAAAATCCTTGATGAGTGATTTAGTGTACTTCCATCTGGAGATACATAGTATCTGGTTCTCTCTCTTGTTCTGTGATATTAGCAGACACTGGCAATCATTATACAGATAATCCATTAAAAATTTCAGATTGATAATGTTCTAATTCTATTATTTTCTTCCTTATTTATTAGCTGGAATAGTTCTCTAGAAAGAAACTTCTCAACTATTTGGTTACTGTGAAGTACATTTCATATAGGAAAGGTAGGATAAATAATTCTTTCCCTTTATTATTTTGAAATAGTGAGTTGGTTCCTTAGCTCCTCCCAAAGTGACAAATGAGGTACTCTTTTTCAACCATTATTATGAACTCATGAATTTAATCACATCCGATTTGTTCCTCTCTATTGCAGTTATTATATTAATGATGCATAAATAGCCCTATCTTGGCCTGTAGGAGCCTCTTCTAGTTAGTTCTTGACATCTTTTGACATAACTTTAGTATTCTAAGATAGCTTCCTTGCTTTCTGATAATTGCTACCAGTAATTTTTTCCAGTGTTATTTTGCACATTTTCTGCCCCAATCTTGAATTATCCATTTCTCCAAAATGGCTTGTTTTCTTTTTAGTTAGAAATGATATTTAGATACCATGATCCACTGCTAGGAATACTTATTGCTACTGGATTGGCTATTATGTTTCAGTTTTATTCACTGGACAGAGTCAGGAAACGTTTTTGGTTTTTTAAAAATAAATATTTCATGAGTTCATATTGCTACTTCCTATTCAAAATTAGAGCATCAAGGTTTTTACTTAATCTCATTGTTTTTACATTTGTATCTCCTTTTTCTCATGCTGAAATTTCTCATGCTTAATGACATCATCAAAATTATTCATTGCTTTATTTGAACCACATGCACAAAAATCTCAGAATAATTCCAACATTCTTATTATAATTATAATGACCATTAAAAATAATTTTCATATTATTTTGTAGTTCTTTTTATTTATTTTTATAATTATATATGTATAATTATAATAATTATAATAATAAAATAAATTATAATTTATTCCTAGTTGGATAAATAATTGCAATTATTATAGCATAACTGCAATTAAAAATACTATCTACTTTCTATCAGGTGCTATACAGGTTTAAGAAGAACAAGCAAGAATAACCAGGAATTCATCTAACTAGGAATATATAGTATTTGTGTTCAAATTTTAGACTTGCTTTTTAAATATTTAATTTAATATTATATGTAAAGGTACCAAAGTCAAATTTTCAAAAAAAATATATTCAAAGCAGTTCAGCTTCTATACCTTCCCCCTACACTCTATTCCCTTCTCCTACAGATAACTTTACAAAAATGTATGGTTTACTCATCAAACATTTTGTTAATATAAACATACTTTATACACTCTCCCCTGCCACGCTATTTCATTTAACATTACAGTTACAGTTAACATAACATCAGTTCTCAACTGGAGAGGGTTTTGTCTTCCAGGGGGCATTCAGTAGTGTCTGGAGGCATTTTTGGTTGTCACACTTGGAGGAGGGCTGTTACTGACATCCAGTAGGTACAGGCCAGGGATGCTGCTAAACATCCTACAACACACAGGACAGCCCCCGCAACAAAGAATTATCTGGCCCAAAATATCAGTAGTGTTGCTGTGGAGAAACCTTGCATTATATCCTGAAGATAATGCCACAGAAGTACAGAGATACTCTTCCAGAGAGTAGATGAATCAGTTAATTCAACTAGTTTTCTACTGGTGTTCATTTAAGATATCTCCAATTCTTGTTCTTAGAAAGAGTGTGCAAGGAAGAGCCTCGTGCCCATTTAAAAAATATTTTTTGCTAGCATGTATTTGGGTTCTAGAATTGGGATGGTTGGATCAAAGTACAACTGCTTAGTTTTATTATTATATATGTTTCCATATTTCCCCTGCCCAATGGTTTTATCATTTTGCATTCCCATGATAATATAGAAGAATGATTGTTTCCACAACCTTGCCAACATAATATGTAGTAAGACTTCTAGATGTTTTGCCAATCTGATAGATGAGAAATGGCACTTCAGTATAGTTTTAATTTACCTTTCTCTTATTTTTGAGTGAGGTTGGAGAAACTTTTCATATATTTAAGATCCATTTGCATTTCTTTTTCTGTTAAATTATTTGTATCTCATCTCATTCTTCTACAGGTTAGACGGCCTCTTGTTCTTTATTTTTGGAAGTTTGGTGATGTAAATTGCAAATATGCTTTCAATTTTGTCATGTATATTTATTTTGCTTATGGTGGTTTTTTTTTTTTTTTTTTTGCCATGCAAAAGTGAATACATCAGTCTTTTTCCTTATTTCTGGATGTTAATTCATAGTTTAGAATATTTTTTGAGCTTTCAGGTTATAAATGGACACATTCATTTTAAAACATGCATTTGCATGTTTTCTTTTCTTTCATTTACATCGCTAATCAAGTTGGAATTTTTCCTGGCATACTGCGATTATTTTCCATATGGCTCTCCATTTATCTCAATGCTACTCTTTAGAAGACCATCACTTCCCACTGATTTGAGAAGCCACCTTTATTGTACTCTATATTTACACATGCAGTTAGCATATTTCTGGATTTTTCTATTCAGCTCCATTGGTTTATCTGACTTCTCATGTATCAGTACCAAAATGTCTTAATTATAGAGGCTTTATAGTACATTTTAATGTTTGGAAAGGCTAGGCTCTCTTTTTCTTCTTTCTCATGGTTTTCCTGGCTATTCTTGCTTGTTCTTCCTAATAAACCTGTATAGCACCTGATAGAAACTGGATAGTATTTTTTATTGCAATTATGCTATAAGGACAGGTTAATAAAGGAAAACTGACTTCTTTCCAATGTAATCTTCCTATCCAAGAATATGGTTTGTCTTTTCATTTGTTCAATCTACTGTTTTACCTTTCCAGGAACATTTAGTTTTCCTTAAATAGGTTTTGAACACATTTTAAAGTTTATATATGTACGACCCTAAATAGAGTCTTCTTTTCCAATATATAGTTCACTGTTTTTTTTTTTTTTTGGTTGTATATATGTAGGCTATTGATTTTTGTATGTTAAATTTTTAACCTGTTATTTTAATAAATTTTCCTATTACTTATAGAAGTTTTTCCTTTCAGTCTTTTGAGTTTTTCAGATATATAATTATACTACATGCAAACAGAGATAGTTCTACCTTTTTCTTTATGACACAAACTGGTTTATCTTGTCTAATTGCATTGGCTATTACAGCATGACAGTAAATAGTAGCGAACATAGTGATGCTCCTGTCTGATTCCTGACTAACAGAAAAAATCCTCTAGTTATTCTCCATTAAATATTATGCTAGTGTTTGGCTATATTTCAGAACATTATTTACTTTTAAAAATAAATGCAACCAGATTATGGCTATCTGCATAAATGGCTGCACTATCACTCACTTTGGTACAAATATGCCTTTTTTGAGGAAGAGACAAGCGGTGGTGCTACCACCTCCGTGCCAGGATAACTTGCCATTCAGAGTCAGCTGGACATGGGACAAGTTTGCCCTGTAGTAGTTTGTGGTAGAAAAAGGGTTAAAAAGTGTGCCAGTAAAGTTTTGGGTATTGTTCTCATCTCCGCTGTATTTGCAGAACCATACTAGATTCTTTGAATGCCAATTCTTTCATTCAGAAAGTTCAAGTTAACTTAGTCAAGATGCTAAAATATTTGTGTTCAGTTATAT